TAAGAAAAATATGTGCCTATTTGTCCGTACTTTGTTGTTTTCTCACTCAGTGATTATTATGCATGCATATTGTCATGAACATCCAGTTCATTAATGGATTATACATTACATTCACTGAAATAAACATCTGTCTTCTGCTTATAGTGCGTCAATCCACTGGAAAACTGGACTTAACGTGGCCACCGCCCCAAGCTGATTTAGAACAAAGACAACTGTCAGAGGTAGAGGACTTTTTGTTTGAATCTCTTTTAAAAGGCATCATTTGTGTTCTTAACTATATTCTTTTCTGGGACTAAATGTGTATGTCTCAGTTATGCTGGTATTGGTAGCATTGTGGTTAAAGTTTTGGGCTGGTGGTAACCCAAAGGTCTGAGGTTCAAATTTTGAATTCGGTAGTCCATGAATTGAGGTTTTAACCTGAACAATAAACAGATACCAAAGCTCTTCAACCTTTCAATAGGTAATCAAAGGAGTATCAAAGTTTCAGTCGCACTCCCTGTGCAAACACAACCACGCACACTTAAATGTGAAGCTGCTGAAAAATAGCTTATCTTACTTCATATAATGAGAGTTCAGAGCAGAGTTCATACTAGCTGCATTCTTTAGAATCAAGATTATGTCATGACTGTATTATCACTATTACCACTGAATCATTCGCCTCAGCCAGGGAAGTATAATGTAACCAACACAATCAGCACAATCAAAACCAATAGGTGTTGCCAAGTGAACACTTTTATCTGAAGACAGAGGGGTTTTTTTTCAGTTCATCTCAGGTCTTGTTTGCTTAGAGAAAAGTGCCTACCTTGATATATGAGGAAGTTAAAATTGCATGTGCTGCTCCAGTTTATTTTTCCCATTTATAGGAATAATTCACCCCAAAATGAAAAGTCTGTCATCATTTTTTCACCCAAATGTCGTTCCAAACTTTTATGACTTTAATTTTTCAAACACAAAAAGGAGACGTTAGACAGGAAGTTCACTCTGTTCTCTCACATAGAACAAATGAATGATGGCCAGGGGCTGTCAGACTCCAAATATGACCAAAAAAGTGAGGTTTGTGCAATATATTATATGATACCTTTACATTGTTATTAAGTGAAAAGTCAAATGTATTCACTTCTCAAATCTAACTCAAATGTCCTTATTTGAATGTGCGCATATTCAAATTTGTGTGCTGTGAGCACTTATGTGACATGTGAGAACCAGTTACAATATATGGCAGCATTGACATCAAATCTTATGTGCCATATTTGAATATGTGCAAATATGAATGAAATTTGAGACAATTTTCAGTGCATAACAACTCAATTTGCCTTTAGAAGACCACTTTAATTATGCTTTTGGGAGCTTGACAGTCTCTGGTCACCCTTTGGTCTCATTGTTTGCAAAAGAGCAGTCTAGATATTCTTCAAAATATCTCCTTCATTAAGGAAAAATGTCAAATTGGTTTAAAACAACACATGGTTTAGTCAACGATGACAATTTTCATTTTGACCAAATTAGCCTTTCAGCCAACACTTTCAGAAAAAAAGGTACAAAAGCTGTTACTGGGGTGGTACCCTTTCAACAGGTACATATTTGTACCTTATTTAACACTAAAGGGTGCATTTAAGTACCCTAAATGTATATTTTAGCACCTAAAGTGTACATTACATTTTTGTACCTTCCGAAAAGGTGACCACTTTTGTACCTTTTTTTCTGAGAGTGTATGTTATGTGAGCTAAAAGCATTCAATTTCAAATGCACTTACTAATGTTCTTATTCGAATGTTCTGATGAATACAGAAAACAGTAACGATCCCAAGGCAGAAAAATCTATTACTCGAGCGCTGGGAGTCAGGGATGGTGAACGGCCATGTGGACGATGACGACTGAGACGGAAAACCAACTACAGCATCCTGACATATACAATATGGAGCCCAGTCAACCAAGTGTACCAGCCTAAAATAAAGCGTATGAACAAATGATCAGTTTTCCCAGAAACCCCTCTGATCTTTTAAAGGAAACCAGTACGAGTGCCACGTGCCATTATGGATGGATAAAGAGCATCAATTGCCTCAAAAAGGCACTGCGAGTTGGTTATCCTATCTGATATTCCATAACACACACTGTGTAAATACCAAATGAGCCAAACTGGTGTTAATGATAATAGGTATGGCAGTGTTTATTGTCGTTACATGCGCTCAAATGATTTCAGTGTAATGATTATGTAATTTTGAATGTAATTTTCTGATTTAGTTATACAAATATTTATAATCGGTTAACATAGCTGCTCATCTCATAGTAACAAAATGGTCTAAAAGCCTGGAATATTACATAAGAATTATATTTAAATAAATATTATTTGATAGATATGTAATTACTCATTAGAAAAGCTAAATTATACTGGGAAAAGGCTTTATTGATGCATACAAAAAAATGATAAAATAAATAAAAATGTGTTAATCAGCTTTTTTGTTTTTTCTGAATAATTGCTGAATGTGACTCATTGTTAGTATTGTGATAGAGGTTTGGCCCTTGGAGTCCGAAACTAGATAACTGACTTCACAATAGGCACAATGACCAGGATGTAATGCTTACGCCAAATCTAAGGCTTTGATTTTCAAAATAACAATCAAAGAGGGCGACCCTTTGCATGTTCAGTGACATCAGTCCATTCTAAGCTTCTGCATACTCAGCTCGTGCTGTGAGGTATGAACACCAGACTGCCGTGACTCAACATGCCAGCGGGCATTCAAATTCGTCACCATGGTGATGATGGTACTATAGGAAAGGGACAAAGAAAACGTCCGAGCCGAGCGAGATTAGTCATGAGTGAGATCACAACACACACACACATGCAGTACGCTTTACTGACCCTCTAGTTGCCTGTGAATTATTCATTCACTCTTTCTCAGCACAATTAGCTAAGGCTGCATGGGAATGCTCATTTCAAATATGGCAGCAGCTCATCGATACCACTGGAAAAAAGCTGCCCATTGCTTTCAGTCTTCAATGAGGTTAATCCAGATGACCTTTAAGACCAATACACAATACTATTCTTTGTGACGAAGTATTCTGAGGAAAACAAAACTGTATGATTAGTGACGCATGGGTAGTTTCTAGCAAAACATATAATTGGTATTTGTTTTACAGTAGTCTGGTGTCCGAACATTGCTTTGTTCCGGCCAGTTCTAAGCGTTTCTTTGTAAATACAGGGTTAAAGGGACAGTTCACCCAAAAATCAATTCTGTCACCCTCAAGTATGAGTTTCTTTCTTCTGCTGAACAAAAAAGAAGAATGTTGGTAACCAGACAGTTGACGGTAGCCATTGACTTCCAAGGATATTGGCAAACACGGCATGATAAGTAAAAAGATCTTCATCTTCCTCTCTCATTCTGGTCTAAACAAATCAGCATAATGGTAACCTTAGTACTTGGAACGAGATACGAGATACTACTGTAGTGGGGCCTTTTGAAAAGGGAATCACAAGAGAAGGTTTGAAATGGAGCATCATTACCTCAGATTTAATGTCAACATGCTGCAGAGTGAGGTCTGATGAAGAATAAATCATAGTGAGAGAAAATCAATAACCTTGAACACAAAATCAGATATCTGATGTATATTGGGAGATATAGCGATTGGATGATGAGCACCCAGGTGAATCACTTGCTCTGAAGAGATTGGCACCGTGACTTGCCAACAATATGATCTCTGGAGTGAACATGTTGCCAGAATTTTTCTTGATCCCTGTGGAAAATATTTTTTTTATATTTTTACAACATTCCTATCACTCATATTAGCAGTGTACCAAGATATTAAAATGATTTAAATAATTATATAAATTAACTAAATATTAATTAATAATAATTAACTACATATCTAATATAATACATAATCATATAATCAGTGTTTTAAATACCTATATAAATATTTACTGGAATTATCTAAATAATTATAGAAATATACACTACTGTTCAAAATTTGAGGTCTGTAAGATTATTTAATGTTTTTGAAAGTCGTCTCATATTTCAACAA